GGAAGCTCGTCATCGTCGGTGATGGTGCTTGCGGAAAGGTGCGCTCCATTCAACCACAATCGTACCACTTCCCTCACAGCTCACTCACAACTCATTCTGCGCTCCCCAGACCTGTCTTTTGATCGTCTTCTCCAAGGGAACCTTCCCCGAGGTCAGTGGTCCACCTCTTAATTGTCGCGTTGCCCGCGCGCACCTGCAGACGTGGCGATGATCGCGTGCGTTCCCTGGCGCTAACAATCACCACAGGTTTACGTCCCCACCGTCTTCGAGAACTACGTCGCCGATGTAGAGGTCGATGGCAAGCACGTCGAGCTCGCCCTCTGGGATACCGCCGGCCAGGAGGACTACGATCGTCTCCGCCCCCTGTCCTACCCCGACTCCCACGTCATCCTCATCTGCTTCGCCGTGGACTCGCCCGATTCGCTTGACAACGTACAGGAGAAGGTCTGTCTTGCACCTCGATGATGCATGCGTGCTATTCTGACCGCGCCCGCTCCACACGTCAACAGTGGATTTCCGAGGTGATGCACTTTTGCGCCGGGCTTCCGGTTATCCTGGTCGGCTGCAAGAAGGATCTCCGGCGGGACCCCAGGGTCATTGAGGAGCTGAGGAAGACCAACCAGCGGCCGGTCACTCCCGAGGAGGTGCGTCGTTGTTTTGTGCACCTGTGCCATGCCCTTTGCATGCGTCTCGGCGGAGCCCACCCTCTTTGCGTCATGCTGACTTCGACTGGTGAATAGGGCATGGCGGTAGCACAGAAGATTGGTGCCCGTCACTATCTCGAGTGCTCGGCACGGACGGGTGAGGGCGTACGTGAGGTGTTCCAGTACGCGACGCGTGCTGCGCTCCTCATCCGGCCCAAGGGCGCGAAGAAGAGCCACCATTGTGTCGTGCTCTAAGCCTTTGCGATCCCCGGTGTTTCCCTCGGCTGGCCAGGACTCTACGTTACCCGCTTTCCCTTTTCGAGTACCGCACCAGGCCTGCCAGGCATCTCGCTTTCAACATCCACGCACCTGCTCCTTCATGGCGACCAGGATGGGCGCGCGGTGCACGCGCCTGCCCTTACCCGGCCCTCGCTTCGTCCGCTCACCGTTACCGTTCGTAATACCCCCGCGTACGTTCACGACTAGTACTATCTTCGCAATGACTGTGACATATCTCTCATCTCTGTCGTCTCTTGTACATCGATCTACGGCCTGGCTCTCGTTTCCTCTGTCTGCATGCCCTGCTGCGTCTGTCGCGTCGGAGTGGTGTGTGATCGGTGCGCGGCGCGCGTGCGTAGAGTTTCTTTCCATGTCTTTTCGCTCGGTCGGATTGGAGGGAATTAGACTATTTAGTAGATCGCACGCTCGGTGAGCATATGCTCTCTTGCATGGGTGCATGGTGAGGGTGTTCGTTTGCTGCTAGGCGTGCATCCAGTGTTCGAGTGCGTGGTGGTGGGATGCGTGTGAGCCTGCGAGGGACCGGTCCACCTTGGTCCGCTACCACCATGACCTCTGGCCGTCTTCATCCTTGGGCTCCTCGCGCCTTGGCAACGCCCTGTATGCATGATGCTATGACTGATGCAGGTTTGGTCCTTGGTTCAACGTCATTTGTTATGCATTGAGCGGATGAAATTTGGAGACCACGCAAATTCGAAGACTGATGCTCAAACATGGCTCGACCACCAGCAGCCTGTCCAGTCGTCACCACGTCCTATCGACCTTCCACTTCGTTCATCAACACATCTGTAGCATGTTGTTTTCGTCCTTCTTACAGCTTCGTCTGACAAGAGATGATTTCTCAGGCTGCGCATCACTCCGTGGAGTATACACACTGCGCTTCGTCGACGACCCGTATCCATGTCTGTGACTAGCACCTCTTGGCTACACTGCAGAACCGACCTTCCAGCTCTTTGATGCACTCTTCACCGGAACTGGGCTTTGCGGTAATACTCTCGGGGGACCGCGCAACCGACATGTCATATCCATTGTCGCTGGACGCCATCGCACAGTTGTCGAACGAGCGTATGCGAGCCGCAAGCTGGGATGCAGACAGTGCGCGTACAAGTTTACCAAAGTCAGTATGGCGTACCTGGTAGTGTATAGCCTACTCACCAAAGGGTAATGTCCACAGCGATAACACACAACGGTCCGCGCTCTGTCAACCGTGCTGGGATGGACCCTTTGCAGCGCACCTCGGGCTCTTCTACACGCATGTTGTAAGGCAAAAGGACTCCTCATACAGCGGAGGATATGCATACTCGACTTCGTGGGCAGAGGTCAAGTCACAGGCCGACGCCGGATGCCTTTGGTGTCGGCTGCTGTATGCGACTCGGTCTAAGGACGACGATGCTATGCCGAGCGCAAGTCCGGTGAAGATCATCGTGGGTATCAAGCGGCCTTCAAACGGGGTTAGCCCTCCCCACGCTCAAGAACTGGCTGTATGTGCAAATGGCTTGCTGCGATTTGAAGGGTACCTGTATACAAGCACCAGTATGTTCTCACTGCGTAATTTCCTGACCATGCAGCGTTGCTGAAACTGGATCGACAGAAGACCCGGCGGCGGGGTGCGTCATCGCGCGAAGTCACGTACTAGACATCGGATCCCCACATGCTCTAGCTCTCGCGAAAGACTGCGTCGACGAGTGCGCACGGGGACATGCGCGCTGCCGAGCCCTGCTAGCATCTCACGAGAGCGATGCTCTGCTCCCTACCCGTCTCATCGACTGCTCCGATCCCAGCCGTCCGCGTCTCGCCCCGACGGACGGCCGACGCGGCAAGTACTGCGCGCTCAGCTACGTCTGGGGCGAGCCGCAACCACACAGCACTGTCATCTCCAACGTGCACGTCTACACTGCGGGGATCAATCCTGAAAAACTACCGCAGACTATCCGCGACGCGATCTACGTCACGCACGAGCTCGGGATGCAATATCTGTGGGCGGACACGCTGTGCATAATACAGGACTCGGGCCAGGACAAGCGGCGCGAGCTCGCTCGCATGCATCGCATCTACCGCGACGCGCACCTCACCATCATCGCATCCGACGCGCGGAAGGTCAGCGAGGGCTTCCTGCAGGATCGACCGGACACCGCCGTGCGTGACGTTGTCCTTCCCTCTGTTTGCCCCCTGAGCGGGATTTAGCGGTGTCGGCTGCGGCGGACGGGCCGGGCGGGAGTAGAGGCGAGAAGTGGCTGCCACGAGAAGATTAACGGACTCTGGCTGTGGAGTGCGTGTCTATAGGAGAGTGGGCCTGTGGAGGGGGTGTCTATAGGAGAGCGAGAGGGCGCCATAGGGAGCGGAGGACTCATGGGGACCACTTCTCTCAAAGGTCGAAAATCGCGTTTTTACCGTGTAAATCGCATCGTATTCCACTGTAGCATACTCGCACTGTACAAGGTCCAAGTCCCGTGGAGATGCGACAAAAACTACAAGCTACAGGTCGGGAACAACTCCCGGGGGAGCCTCAACTCGAACACCTCCCCGAGGCTCGCAGGACGTTAAGGTCGCGCGAATCCAGGGGCGCTGTGTTGTAGCACATCCAATGCACCGTGCGCACCCCTGCGCCGTGCGCGTCGCCGCGAAGTCGTACGGAAATCATGCAGCGGCCGGGGAGAGCTCGGGGGAGCAAAGGTCACCCGGCATCTCCCCTTGCGCGCCTCGCAGGAGTCCTGGTGCGCCAAAATCGCGCGAGGACGTAGCCCTACGTTGGGCAGTCCCATAGATGGCGTCTCGACACGGCCGCGGCGTCACGTCGGCGCGAAATCGCGCAGGGGAGTGTCGGGCCTGGGGACGGGCTGCCGGTGCAAAGTCCGGCCACCGAGGATGTCGCAGAGGTCGTTTCGTCCTAAGAGCTCCTCTAACGCTGGCAGAGTATCGTACCGTGCTGTATGCGTCTCCTCAACGTGGCTGAGATGCCGCAGAGTGGCGGAGTGGAAAGCGGAGTGCCGGAAATGGCTGTTGCAGCCAAGTCCAGCGTCCAGCGCCTCCCAGATGCCCTGAGTCGCTGCGACCCCGCGCGCGTGTCGCATAGCTTTGTACAGTACCATAGAGACCGCTCCGATGCGGCTGTGGCGTCGCGCTGGCGAACGATCGAGAGTGAAAGATCCGGGGGCCCCAAACTCGGTTGCAGAGGCCGTGGGACGCTATACTCGCGCACGCGGATAGGCGTAGGTCGTGCCGCGCGGGGGAGAGCAGCGAAACGCGTCCGCATCGTCGCACCGTCGCGGAATGGAAAAGGGGAGCAGCGAGCGGCCCAGAGATGGCCGTGGGAGCGAGATCTGGAGCTCCAGAGTGCCGCAGAGGTCGTATAGCCTAGGGACGGCGCACGTACGTACCCAAGTGTCTGACCGTGCCGTACCATCCGTTCCGACGTGGCTGTGTGGTCGCGATGTGGCGGAATCGCGAGGGGAAGTGTTGAGAGCGCGGGGATTGGCTATTGGAGCCGAGTCCGGCGCTGAGCCGTTCGCAGGAGCCGTTGAGAGCCGGATTTGCGCGCACGTGTGGCTGAGAGTCGTGTCGTACAAGGGAGAGCGGCGGCAGGTGGCTGCGTGATCGCGCCGCCGTGAAATCGCGAGGGGGAACGTCGGCGGCCTCCAGGGACTGGCCGCGGAGGCAAAATCCGATGCTCGGGCGCGTTGTAGAGGGCACGCAGCGCCGAAAGCGCGTGTGCAGGGAGTCTTCTCCCGGGCCAACCCATAACTTCCTTCTGGACGAGGCGGCATCGCCGCGCTGTTGCGAAATCGAGAGGGGAAGAGCCTGGGACTGGCCCATGCTGTTGGAGCATTACGGAGCGCTTCGCGGGACACCCGGGACGCCGGAATCGCGCGTATCGTGCGTGGAGAGTCGTATAGTACTCAGCAGACGAGCAAGGCCGTGCTGTAGCGCGTCGTCGTCCCGGTACCGAGAAAGGAAGCAGGGAGAGTCTGAGGATAGGCTGGGGACGCAAGTTCAGAGCTTGAGCATATTAGAGACGTTGCAGGCCGCCCCAAGCGCGTACAAGGCTCGCAGAAAATCTGGGTTAACGTGTGAGAGTGACAAGACGTGGCGGAGTCGCCGCGTCGTCGCGAAATCGAGAGGAACTTGAGAGGCATCGAGAGCCACCCGGCGAGACTTGAAGCTTGAAGTCCCTCCGGGAGCTGCATCAGGGACGATCAGCAAGCTATATTTGCGAGAAAAAAAACGCGCGTCGTACCTTCGAGATACACAAAAGGGTGCGCATACGGGATCCTAAGGCTGTACGCACAATGCGAGGCTGCCACACAGCCGCGCGAGGCGAGGGGCGGACGAACGTCCAGAAAGACGCCCATGCGCCACCACAACTCGACCAACGCCAAGTCCCGCCACCGCGCGACTTACTCCCGCACCGCCACCTTCTCGCCTCTTCTCCCGTCTCGCCTGCGCCTCAGAGTCCTCACGGTCTCGCCCTGTCTCTCGGCTGGTCTTGGCCGGCGGCTCTGCGGGTTCTCGAGATCCGACTCGACCATTTGCGGGATAGCCTGATGGCTGCGCGACGTCAAGAGCCCGTCGAGAGCTCGCTGCTCGTCGTCCAAGAGAGCCGCGTCAGCGGCTGTTCTCGCACTCCGGCCGTGCTGTCTCGATGCGCCGTCCAGTGTGCTGGCTGCACAGGTGAGTAGAAAGTCTATACTTGGTAAACGGAACACTGCCAGCGCGTGCACACCTTCAGACGACACCGCACGACGTGTGTGTGATGGCGATGGGCCACGCCGCAGCTGCACAGGTACGTCAGAAAAGGTAGGGGCGTGCGCGCGGCGAGTGCTTACCCTCATTCCAACATCCGCACGATAGCAGGACGCCCATGCCCCATCGGCCACCTCGGCCTCCGCGCGCGTGCAGGTATCTCGCGTCGCCCTTCACTTCCCGAATGCCCGATTTTTCAGCGTCTCGATTGGCTGAACTGGTCTTGCTCGCTGGTGCTGTCAGGCTTCTGGGGGGCTCGTTAGACGATGGAAACACTGGGCCGCTTCTTTAACACGTACCTGGTGTTCTACGGCCGCTGTCTCACCGCTCTCTGCTACTCTGCTGGCCTAGGACATGGTGGGCAAGTCTGCGGCGGTCTCCAGTGATGTTCTTCATGCTGGCAACCAATGCTGCACGGTGCGCCCTCTTCCGCCGTCGTCCTGCGCTTCCGAATATGTGTGGTTGCACTTCTCTGCTCTAGGGAACTCTCTTCAGAATGCTCTCTCGCCTTACCTCGCCAAACTGGAACTCACGTGTCGCAAACGACTCTGGCTGCTCGTTGCCGTCTTCTCTACACCCTGCAGCCCTCCGTAGCCCGTGACGGTGTGCTCTAGCGGATCGTCTCACGACGAATGCCGCTGCCGCACACACGCCGTCCAAGCACGCCCCGGGCCGTGCCTACTTCGCCACGCAGCTGGTGCCCCTGTAGCTTCTCTCGTCGTCGTCTCGTCGTCGCCTAGGGCTTGCTAGTGCTGGGAGGCTCGACAACTTGAACTCGTCTCACATGGATGCAAACCGAGTACTTACCTGGGAATGCACAAACCACGTGTCCCTTGCGTCCACCCGCAACACAGACTTGCGGAGTGATCGGAGTACAGCGGCCACAGATGGCAGCATCGAGGCGGGCGGCAGATTCAGAGGATGGCGCGGTGTGGAAAGGATGACGGCTCAGCATCGTCCGGCCGTGGAACGACAGCGGACGGCGAGCGGGAGTGAGACAATGGTGGTGGAAAGGTAGGCGGCGAGGTGGGTAGCGAGGTGGAGACACGGCGGAGCAAATGTCAATTTTGCCACGTAGGCTGCAGTGCCATATCCCAAATCTATCAGCGGTTGTGTAAGGGGTGACGTTATTGTTGAGGTTCACTTCTTCCATTCCCGATCTTCCAGTTTCAGTGTTCCGCGCCACGTAATAACGAACGATGTCCGCCACCTCTTGCTCGCTCTCCGCCTGAGTCACAGGTGCGTGGACAGGGTCGGCTGTGGAATATGGCTCGGCCAAGCAGATCCCCTCGTCCTAGCCCTTTCCCCCAGCCAATCCTGTCTAGAGCTTTTGGAATATATTTGTTGCTCCCCGAAGATCCTCGTGCTCACGAACAATTCAATAGCGCCACAGTGGACCCCGTCCCTACAATAGAATGTCCACACAGGCTGCCAGACTGTGGCTGGAACGTCCTGCAGGTGGAATAGCATCTGTGCATGCTGTAGATATGCGGAAAGTGCGCCGTCCAGTATCGCACGGAACGAAGATCAAGTCGGGGACAGATTTTTGGGCAATGTGCCCGATTTGGCATGCGGTGTGGTTCGAAGCACGCGCGGTGCAGCTCTGCGGTGAACAACGATGACACAGGATCTCTGCCCACCAGGCTTGTCGCCATCCTTTCTATCATTGTGTACAATGATATCCAGTGCTCGTATAAAACGCCGTGCAACATTCTGAGACACTCCGCACTGCTCAGCGCGATTCTGAGTCAGGCACGACACTGATATGCTCGACTCTGACGCCGCTGGTGCCAAACCGACTTGAACCGTCTCGCTGCCGGACACTCCGCTCGACGGCCGCTCGATTTCACCAGTTTCCTCGTTCAGCTCGATTACCATGCCAAATCGGTAATCGAGACGTCCATCAACTCATCCTCGCACCCAATCGACTGCTTCGCTGCTAGCGCTGCCGCAGGCCCTGGCTCGCTTCTCGACGCCCGCCGCATGGTTACCCTATCGTTCTGGCACGAGTTATTTGGATGCCCTTCTACCGACCCTATGAGGCGACCCGTTGCCATGCCGCTGAGCTGCGCCCGTAAGTCTCGTGCGTCTTCTGTACCATTACCACAGCGTTACTCGACCCAGGGCACTCGACCCAGGGTCGTCAGTACAGGCTTCAAGGCTCAATACGAGCACTTCACTTTTGTGTGCGCAAAAAAACCAGTGCGGCGTGCACACACACAGACGAGATCTCGATGTCAGGAATGGGACTGTCAATCTGGGCTGTTCAGCGACATGGCCCCCTCGTTGCTTCAGGAACAGCCGTCCCTGTCAGAAACGGCGCATGTCAATGATCCATCTCGCGAAGGGCCGGAAGCCGCGTATGCGAGACGGCGTGTCCGCACGGTTCCTGGTTCCTTCTTTGCGGGACCTCAATCGTGAGCGTTGCAATCACGCAGCGAAATTACCAGGTACGTACTGCGGTTATGTGCGAGCTAAGCCTGCTAATCCTCCAGATTGCGGGTCTGTGGTACCAACGCGCTGCCGTTCCTCGCGCTTTGATAGATCCAGCCTCCAGGATACCATCCACAAACTTGAAGCACCCCGCCGGTCATGTCGAGTGCACATCCTCGGTTGGCGTTGCGCTCGCGTCCCCCTGGGCCGTCGCAGGCAAATAACAACACTGAATATTCGCCATTATCTTCCGCCGTGCAGACGGCGGCGTCGCATGCGCCGTGAACGCAGAGCCGCGGGAGGTCCACAACGCGTAATTGTGGATCCTGGCGATTGGGAGAGGCGACTCACGGATGATGTTCTTTCAGGGTTCCCTCAGGGCTGCGAAGAACCTGTTCACGCCATGCCAACACCTGTGCAGATTCGCGATGCCAAAGAGGCGCGGTCCTGGGTGGGGAATGGAGATGGGAGCACTCTGCCATGGACAAGCGCTCGGCACATGGAGATATGTAGTTTTCGGTGCCGATGTGTAATGTTCGAATGGTCTGTACACTACATCATGTCACTAGTCGTATCCCCAAAACTTGAAGGGGGCCTACCTAGCGGCACAAGAACTCGACCGTCCTGCTAGGATGGCTGCAGTACGGGCATCCTCACGAGTGCGTCCCCTTCTGCCGCTGCTATAAGATCGGCATGAACGATCCACCGCGGGTTCGCTCTCCGCTCGCCTGCACGGTGAACCCTGAACATTCGCACCTGAGCCTGCCGCTAGCCACTCCGGGTCTCCAGCCACCGCCTCTCGATCTCACGTAAACGCACAGACTTCGGCACGCTCGCATCCATGCAATTAGAAGCTGATCTCGTAGGATTTCTGGGGCCCAAGCCCAGGGGAGGACACGGCGGGCAAACGGGCAGGGACACCATATATTGACGGGCGTACATGCTACATACCATGGCATACTGCGATACATGGTGTGGCTGCTCGAATGCGCCGGGGGCGTGTGCACAGAGGCCTATCCGGCCGGGGATATTGCGGACGCACAAAAACGTTCGGGAGGGTGAAACGAATCTCCCGCAAGCTGCGCGGCACACCCGAGCGCGCACATCTTGGCTCGTGCATTTCGGTCCGTGCGCGGGACGACCTCGTGCATGCGAAAGTGCGGAGGACGGGTCCGGCCGTGTCTCAGATCAGTTATGCTCCCGTCGTCGTGCGACGGCGTCGGGACGTCGCGGGGACGTAGACGAGCCATCCTGCTCGCCGCTTCGAGCGGACGGGGATGTCTGGGCGGTTGTGCCGCGGGCAAACGAGTGCCCTGGATTGTCTTGGTATCCTGGCGTGCGCCGAGGCGGTCAGCACGCGCGGAGACACGACGGGGGCGCACCTGCCAGTACATCCCAAAGGGCGGCCCACTTCCCTGGGGTCGGAGCCGATCGGCGAGCGCGATGGGTTTCCGGCGTGAGACGTATTTTACGAGGGAAGCGCACGCCGCCGTGGCGACGCGGACGCGCGTGTGGCGGATTGGAGCACCCATGCTATCGGTGAGGGCCGCGGCTCGCGTCCGCGTCTGCGCCGCAAGCGACGCGAAGGGAGGCGAGCGGGCGAAGGCGCGGAGGGGCTGGGCAGGCGGAGCCAGCGGAGCGGGGTCTGTGCGTGTGAGATGGGGCCAGTTGGGGTCCAAATAAGCGACGCGGGCGCGGTATATAGACTGGGGGCGCACCGCTTGCTTGGCCCCATCCCCTCATCCTCTTTCTCCTTCTCTGCTTGTCTCTCGCCCGTTCGCTCCTGCCCGCCGCCTACTCCGCGCTGTCCGGGTCGTCGTCGGTGAGCAGGTCAAGGGCGCGATGTGGCGCCGTCTTCGGTGAGCTCGTATGACTGTGCCGTGCACACGGACATGGCTAACGCTCTCCGACAGGGCCGAGGCAATCAGTACTCGCAGGGACACGGGGTACAGTGTGAGGTATGTACCGCTGTGCTCCCCGTCGCGTAAATGCGTCCGCCAACGCGTCCGCACGCGCAGCGCAGAGACGCCTACGCAGGCGTGTACGAGCGCAGATGCGGTGAGCGTCTGTCGTGTTCGGGTGGAGAAAGCGAGGCTGACGTACCCGACTCCTTACAGGTCCGCGCAGACGATGCCGTGTCGTGTCGAATGGGCGAGCAAGGTCTGTGACGGGGATCGCACACTGGTAACGACCTCTGACACGTACGATGTAGTGAGAACTCGCAGGGACACGGTGTGGCACGCGAGGTACGCACCGTTTTTGCGCTACCTGCATAGGCGCTATCTCTGACGCCGCCACTTGTGCAGAGATCTGCGCGCCGGGTGGAGACGTCTGTGGACATGTGTCGAGTGCAAACACGGTAAGTTCCGATGAGTGTCGCGTAGAGAGGGGCCTGCTGACGTACTTTCGGGCCCAAGCTGACGTCGTGCGGTCGAATCGAGGTCGGTTGGTCTTGGAAGGGCGGTGACGAGCGGCGGGAGCGAAGGGGACGTCGGCGGGGGCGTACTGTAGCCGTACGTAGCTTCTAGGCACGGAAGGAGGCGATGATCACGTTGTGCGCCGTCTAGTGGGGTCGCGCGTGCGCATGCCTGTCTGCCGTGGCAGATGTCTGGTGATCAGTGAGTTAGTAAATCGATTTGCGTCGATGCTCTCGCTGATCCACCTGCATCTAGGTCTCCTGCGTGCCATTCGAAGGACTAGCGGCGATGCGAAGCGACTGAGGTTCGGACGGGAGTGTGCCGGGTGCACAGACGGCGACAGGTGAGGTAAGTCCTTAGCATTGCCATTGTAAACTGGTCGACTCACCCATTCACAGGCTTCGCAAGCGATTTCTGGACCAGTTGTGGAGGGAGAGCTGGATGGAAGCTGGCGTCGAGGTAGAGGGGCGATTAAGCGCCCAGGCGACGTCGGACTATACGCGCGAAGCCGCGGCTTGTAGCCGTTGTAGTCGGTCTTGTAGTCTCTATAGGGTGTTGTATGAATGTTATACAAAATGTTCGAACAAAAATGGCGTGGATGAGCAGGTGTACGAAGATGTGACCCGGGAATGCAGCCGTGCTTACCCAAACTTGTGCCCTAGCGGTCCGAGACGGCTAGAGCGCGAGTACAGCGCCTGTGCGGACATGTACGATCGTCTCGTGTGTGTGTTTGCGCGTGGGGTGGGCGCGTGGGGTGGTCGTGAGTGTCGCGCGGGGACTCTGCAGAGGGACAGTGAGCACGCATAGGTCGCTCTCCGAGTCGACAGCGTGTCTACCATCCGAGATGCGGGCTGCATGCCTGACGTATGTGCTCGATCCGTCGTCGGGTGTCGCAGCTGTCCACCCGGTCATGCGCATCGCGGGTCCTCGGCGGCGGCAGGCCCCCGAGGAGCGTTCCCGTACGGCCCCGCTCATCGCCTCTACGTCTTCGGGGACCCCACGAAGGCGCACGCTCGCTGGCGATCCGCGGACGGTTCGCGGCACGTCGGTAAGCACGTTCGTAGACGCGTCTTTGCGTCTCGCGCGATCCGTATGCGTGTGCGTGGCCGAAAACGTCGTTGCTGCGCTCGCACAGAGGTCAGTTCCGAATGCGGTGATGGAGGTACACAAGAGAATGGGCGGGTATCCGAGCGGGCACTCGAAACACATACCAGAGGTCTACGGCATCGATGCGGCCGGCGCGGGAGTGATGCTGAGCGAAGTCTCGGATGGAGTTAAATGGACGGGCGAGGCAGGGCGAGGCCGCTGTTTCGGGTGTCCATGCGTGTCTCGATATGGCGATGTCACTCTGAGGCGACGCGGGATGCACCAGGTAAGCTCTCGGACACACATTTGGGACGAGCCTGACTTACTCGGCAGGATGTATGCGCGGGATACCCGCGAAAATGGGCGGCAGAGACCCGGGCTGCTCTCAATGATAGTGGAGGGGGCGCATGCAGAACACGCAGACGCTGGCGGAATGAGCGCGGGAGGCCAGGACTTGCCGTTTTCCACGACTGCGGAGAGCTGGAAACGCCCGCAACGCCGTCTAATGCATCTAATGAGCCGGCTAGAGAGAGTAGCAAGGCCTGAGAGCGCGAGAGTGCGATGTTTGCATTTCGTTGGTGGCCTGCACCGAGCGGCGGTCGAAGAGAGCCCGACTTGCACGCAGAAAGCAGCGCGGAGCCCGAGATCGCTGGCCCAGTACCAGACCCAAGAGTAAGCGAGCGAGAGGAGAAGCGAGGGCGAGAGAGCGAGGAAAGAGAGAGAGCCCCTCCGACCTGCGCGGACCGCGACGCGTGACGTCACCTGCCATCCGTGGCTGTCACCCACTGCCGTACGTTCGACCGACTCGCTCGCGCTGACGCGCTCGCTCCTCGCACTCGCCCACACCGACCACTCGCAGCAGCTCTAGTGCGATGTTTTCTTCCTATCTCACCGCTTCCCCGTCGTCTGTCTCGTCGTCCTCATCCTCTCCTTCGTCGCCAACAACCACTCCCGCCGCGTCCACGCCCTCCTCGTCGTCCTTACTGTCCTCCGCCTGCCGTCCTCACGCCCCTCATGTCCGAAATTCGCAGGAAGCTCGTCATCGTCGGTGATGGTGCTTGCGGAAAGGTGCGCTCCATTCAACCACAATCGTACCACTTCCCTCACAGCTCACTCACAACTCATTCTGCGCTCCCCAGACCTGTCTTTTGATCGTCTTCTCCAAGGGAACCTTCCCCGAGGTCAGTGGTCCACCTCTTAATTGTCGCGTTGCCCGCGCGCACCTGCAGACGTGGCGATGATCGCGTGCGTTCCCTGGCGCTAACAATCACCACAGGTTTACGTCCCCACCGTCTTCGAGAACTACGTCGCCGATGTAGAGGTCGATGGCAAGCACGTCGAGCTCGCCCTCTGGGATACCGCCGGCCAGGAGGACTACGATCGTCTCCGCCCCCTGTCC